TCCAGTCCATGTGTTATCTTATGTCTCTTTGTAGAGATAAAATAAATCTATAAAATCTATGAAATAAGACAATAAAAATTTTAATTTCATTAGTAATTCATTTATTTTTACTATTCGTCACTATCCGCGACTATTCGCGACTATTCGCCACTATTCGCCACTATTCGCCACTATTCGCCACTATTCGCCACTATTCGCCACTATTCGCCGCTATTCGCCACTGTTCGTCACTATTCGTCACTATTCGTCACCATTCGCCACTATTCGACACTGTTTACCACTATTTGCCACTATTCGCCACTATTCGCCACTATTCGCCACTATTCGCCACTATTCGCCTCTATTCGTAACTATTCGTCACTATTCGCGACTATTCGCACTATTCGCGACTATTCGCACTATTTGGTCACTATTCAGGTTTTATCACGAGCTGCAGATTATCAGGGTTTGTAGATATGATGGATTTTCCAGTGGGCAATAGGAAATAAAATTGTCGGAGTCATAATATTTTGAAACAGTGTATCGGATCGAATTTTGTAGCGGATTTTTCAACCTTGGAAGCTTCCTGGCCACTAGTAATAATAACTATCATAATCTATTATAATATAACGGTGGCATATGAAACCCGATTAAATAAAATAACATCAATAACAACCCTCGGTCGTTCGGGCTTCACCCACTAAGAAAAATTCTTGAATGAAATGTTGCTTTAATTATTTCGATCAAAAACTAAAGGCCTTGCCAAACGAAGAGACATGTCTAGAAGCTATATCTCCATGTCGCGCGGAAACACGAAATGTAAGAATTTTTCTCGAAAGGCACTCGCGAAGGTAGAAAGTAATCTAGAGAAATACCACTATTACCAGTACTATTTGACCTTCAGAGCTACTACCAGAGCTTGTCAGATCTGTGCGGCTGTAATTGGTTAGATTCTAGAAGCCTCCAAATAAATAAAGCTTCATTGCGTTGAATCTTTTTCAGTCAATCAGCTGGAAACCAGTTTGTCGATCATCGAAACCGAAGTCCGAAATGCTTGTTAGACTGAATGCCACGTTATTTACATTTCATAAGAACTAGATAATCAAAAAAACTATACCTTCCATTTTAGCGTCAGGTTAGAAAGATATGGAAAACTTTAAATCGCAGGCTTTGGATCTGGTAGGTCTCCTTGAGAGCTCTTGAAGTTCTTGAGCGTCCAGCCCGACTGACTCACGTCAAGCTACGTGACGTAATTTGGCATCAAGCAGGGCACAATTGGCTGTAAGATGCTGGCCCTAGCTTTGCACCTATTGTTCTGTTCTGGAGGTGTCAGCCAGATTATTAGCTATTACTTGACGCAAAACAACGTATCCTATTAATAAAAGAGAGATTCCGGCCAGCGGAAAATTTACGAAGTACTCTAAGCGCTCGCTGCTCGCCATCTGTATTTTTCTAAAGTGCTCGCTGCTTGCAAGTAAAATTTGACAAATGCTCGTGCTCGCAAAAATAAACACACTGTTTGCATGCTCGCAAAAATAAACACACTGCTCGCATGCTCGCAAATGCTCACACAGACCATTCGATACTACTCTTTTTTACTCATAAATTTAAAATTACTTATTTAATAATAACAATTACAATTTCCTCAAATGTGATTGGTGCATCAGCTGCTTCACTTTTCACTAATCATTCTGTACAGTTGTAATCGGATAGTTGGCTGTAATCGGACACCTGTAGTCGGACAGTTGAAGCAGCCAATCACACTAGGTCCACTCTGCTAAATCCACCAATCGCAGAACTGATCACAATAACCACGGCAACAACCACTTATCCAAAGAAAAAACAAGGCAATTTCCAAAACGGAAGAATATTTAACTAAAGATATTGTCTTTAGATATTTGGAAGTATTTGTTCTAGGTGTATTTGTTTTTTTTGGAAACAAACACAAAAAATATTTCCTTTCCGTTGATTGGCTGTTGTGATTACTTTGGTTTTGGTTTTTACCTCACTCAGTCGAGTTTCGCTCGAAAAACAAAGCACAACGATCCCATTAGGACTAAAACCCAAACCCCCCTCTCCTAGTCCATCGCAAGATTTACGATAAGGGGAAGTCCTTAGAACATTTGTACGATCACCTTTTCATTTATTCTTTTAGTGGAAATTGAGAGTCAGGGAAATATCAAGAGTGTTTCAACCAATATAAAGGTAAGTTGTTATATGGCAAGGTAGTCTTGAGGTAAATTCTTGCCTTCTGATTGGTTCTTACTTGGTCAGGATTTTGCCATATGGACCGCTTCCACGGAAACGATTAAAAGCCCCGAAGTTTTGCTATCGCAAGTGGTAAATTCATAATCGGCAAGTTTAGCCTGAGTGCCATGTAATTCGGTCAATCTTCGGTCAATCTTCGGTCAATCTTCGGTCAGTCTTCGGTCAGACTTCGAGTCAGTCTTCGAGTGCCATGTAATTCGGTCAGTCTTCGGTTAGTCATAAACACCTTTTAACCTCGCTTGCCCGAGCTGCACTAAAGAATAGTGGGCCTGGGTCGTTTTTGTACGAACCAAGTTCAGCTCGGTCCGTACAAGAACGATCGAGAGCCAAGTTTTCTCAGTACTGCCCGAGCAAACTGAACGAGGTTAAAAAGAAGTTAATAAATATTTGTAGTACAAAAATAAGTCGAGAAAAAAATGAGAGATATGAGGAAAAAAGAGATCAAGGTATTGATAATAAAATATTGTCGCTCTTAAAGTCACGTGGTTTAATGAGTCAACTGCTATGGCGGTTTGCATTGTAGAATTTTCTTACACTGTTCAACATGTATCAGGCTCTTACTCCATGCGAATTTTTTTTTTTTTCTTTAGTTTAACTTTCAAGTAGCAACAACGACAACAAGAACACTGCATCTCTTAAAAACATATTCAAACGAAAGAAATTTAGCATCAGAGAGACATCCTAAAGGCTCTCGATTCTGCAGTCACGATGAAACTCAAGCCGGTCTTGACAGAACTGACTATACCCAAGGTAATAACGTTGAAAAGGCACATTTTTTGGCCTAGGAGAAGCTGGAGATTAAGTCGTATTTGACTTCACCATCACTGGGGTTACTAAACCTAATAAATTTTCTTATTTTCGCATATTTTACTTGCTATTAACTCTGAAGATCGTATATATTAAACGTGATGAAATGAGATTTCATTCCTCCAGTGTAAGGACAAGGTAAACACCGTAAAATTTATCACAGACACACAAATATATTCAAATTATACCTCGCTTTGATTAAAATCAGAAAATTACGGATTATAGAGAGACTTACTCTAAAAGTGCATTTTACAAATCGTACGTAGTTGCATGCTTCACTTAATTTTCTCCTTAATTTTATATAAGAGATTTCAAAATTTCAAAATACAACGCAAAGTGTTTTCCAAGAAATATGTAATATGTATTTGAATTTGTTGGTATATGCGTCGATGGCTGGTCACTTCCTGTGTAGTAATCAAATTTTAACTTGTTTGTCTTTCTAACAGTTATAATAGAGTAATTTTCAATTAAGTAACAAAAGCAATTCGGGATTGGTTCGTTTTAGCTTTACTCCGCCCTGGGATTGGCCTTGGAAATTTTCGCCAAACTTTCCAACCAATCATTACTTGATTTTTCGTGTTTTCCCGCCGATTTGATATTTCGTTGTCTGTACAAGATTTTGGCTTTGGTTGTAAGACACTTAATCGAAGAGCACGCTTTACGAGAGCTATTCAACTGCTGTAGCTGACTGTCCTGAATCAAATGTTACACATGCACAGGGTTCGATCCTCAGTGTGGAACAGAATTAACTCTCGAATTGCTTGGAACAAGAAGCATCTGCAAAACAAAGGAGTAACATCAAAAGAGAAAAAAATCACCTTTGGGTCTGAAAGAGGTAGGGCACCTGTAATTAACAGTATTAATCGAGGTTAGTTGGTGAAATTTCAACCAGCTAACCGGCAGGACGGGCGTGATTTTGGTGAGAGGGTATTCAGTATTTTCTTGATGAAAATCAGAGCCGCCATATTCGATGTTTACAGCAGCGGAAGAGTCAGGGAGGTGAGCGACGCTCAAAAGAAAGGTGAGGGGAGAAGTGGGGCAGTAGCAATCACCGCTCTCCCCTCCCCCCACCGTCCATTTAAAATCTGAACCAAACATTGCCGGTTGGATTAACAACGGCTAGCTTGAACCGTTAACTCGCCCGAGTAAGACGCCTATAATGCATGCTAAAAGCCAGCTGGAACTATAACTGAACAAACCTGCAGTCGTTTCATTTTTGTTGATGGTCTCGATTATGTCTGTGGGCCTCTTAGGCTGCAACAAGAAAAAAGGTTGACTTTAGCTTCTTGGAACTAAAACATGTGAAGATCATCACATTTTGGAGGATACGTTAGTGTCTCGTCGGGCAAAATGACATTTTTTCTTTGCCCATAGTAACCACAAGTAATTTAATAAATTCACTTTTACAGTTGATACTTTCTCAGACTTTGAATCTACTGCCTCGCTTGCTTTGAAAAACGAAGGACCACGCCTTGATAAAGACAACTAACTTTGAAAGTGCTTGAAAAGTCCAATTGTGAAAAGACATTCTTTACATATATAGCCCAATTTATTCCAGAAGAAACCTCAAACGCTACCATTAAAACAAAGCTGGCATACGCTAGATTTAGCGAATCAGTACTCACCAGTTTTCGTCTTCCAGAAGACATACAAATTTATCAACTCGGTCCCGCTTGACAGTCTAAAAGAAGAAACAAAGAAAGAAAAAATTAAGCTATCTGTATCTGTGTTACAGTATAAGAGTACAAGAGTATTTATGCTCTACCAAATTTACCTTCAACATCCTGGCCAATCAAAACAAAATAACAAAATATCTGTCCAAACTCAAACGCGAAAAAACACGAGTGAACTAGTTACGATTACCATACGTTTTAAATTTCACTAGTTTAAACCCTTAGAGTGACCAGCATCTAATTTCTCCTTTCAAAGTCGCCCCTGAATCACACATAAAGGTCACGAGAATAAAGGAAATGATCACGAACTAAAGAAGTTCTTGATTGTTAAACAAATTCTCCTTGTCAGAACCTCAGGAAACTTATAGAGAATAGTACAGAGATTATGAAAACTGATGCTAGGGCGTAAAAGGTTTTTAGACCGATTTCAGGGCGAAGTGAATCACAACCAAAGCAGTGCCCGATATTCCAGTCATAATTTCCTAACAGAACAATCATTTTTTAAAACTCTCTTAAGCTTATTTTTGAAACTACTCTATATGCTGTTGGAGCGCTTTTCGATTACGTGTCGTAAAACCAAAGCCAAAGCAAGAGCCAAAGAGAACTGAAAGTAAAACCGACCAAACTGCCAAAGCGCAGGAAAACGCAGGCGACCAGGTCGTGATTGAATTTAGTTTTGCATCTGATTGGTTGATAGGGTGGCGCAAGTTTTCTGGACCAATCAAATAGCGAAGTAGAGTAAAAACAAAGTAACTTCAGATTACTTTCGACACAACTGAAAATTTCTTTAGCAGCTAGTTCACATTCTCTTCAGTTAAACACGGCATTTTTAACTCGAGAAAGGTAAACAAACACCACAAATCTGAATGATGACACGAAAGGGGCAACTGTACCTGAACTGCCATTTCCGCCATCATGAGTAACTTCTTTATTCCAATACAGAGTCTGAAAATAGATTTAAGTAAACTGAGCATACCAAACAAAGTAGACAAGCAAATAAATAATTCAATAAATAAATAATTACTAATTATATAATAAGCTGCATCCTACACGCAGTTCGATTGGTTACGATAAAATGTTCAAAAAAAATGCGCGCGCCGTGATTGGTCAGAACGAGTTCATAATATTTCCATAAAGCACGCGCCTTACGTCACATGAGTGCACTGTTGAGATATAAATGCAACCTACGTCATCGGTACGAGCGCGAGAAATTCACAATACATTTTATAAAAGAAATAAAAAAACTTGTTCCTCGAGCATCGCTGAGTTATATAAGCACTTGGGAATTTTTAAGAACACTCGAGAAGTGCGAGAAGCACTATTAAAATATTAAATATGAAATAGGAAAGAAGGTTGCTGAAGTGACGCGTGCTATTTCCTTTATTTCGATTTTTTTTCCTAACAAATGCTTAACCTTTTCACCCTAACATCAGTATGCATATTCTCCATACTGTTTCCAATACATTTCCTGATGTGCTGACAAGGAGAATTTGTTTAACAATCAAGAGCTTCTTAAATTGGTGATCATCATAAGTAAGGAAACACGAACTGTCATAAATCCGTTGTATATCTAGCACACCTTCTCTGGCCGATGTTCTTCTCAATTTGTTTAATCTCATCATCCTCAAACAACTTTGATTCCTAGAGGTTGGAAAAACAAGAAATTAAAGGAGAAAGACTTGACGGGGCTCACATCCATGACGTAAACAGTAATAATTTCAACTGAGTTGCCACGTTAGAGAGTTTTTCAGTAAAGCTGACGTTTCGAGCATTAGCCCTTCGTATTTTGCTTTGACGAGGTGCTAACTCTCGAAACGTCAGCTTCAAAAACTCGTTACGGTGGCCAATTTACATCATCAACTAAGTTGATTAAACAAAATCATCTTGTTTTACCCCTCACTGACGTAGTATCACAGTTGCTTTTTAAACCTGCCCCCAGTATTTTGTAATTAATTTAAACAAACCTGTAGCACTTGTTTGAGTTGGTCTGCGGACCAGATTGAGGGCACATGGATTACAGTATTAAACGCTTCCACGATGCCCATGGTTTCCAATACATCTCGGCAGCTGGTTGTTCCGATCACAATCAATTTACGACCCTGAGAGAAAAAGAAGTAAAAAAAAGCGTCATTTGTAATTGCTGCTGCTCTTATTTAAAGCGGTCTAAATTTGGCAAATCCTTATCAAAATGTCATGAACTTCTCATTGCCGCGTCTTTCTCGTCATCATTTTCACGGCAAGTGTTCATATCGTGGTTGTCAATAACCGCTGGCGACGAAGTGTATCACCACCATCGCTGTTATCCTCGCTATCACGAAATTATCCGAAAACTATACGGAAATTATCGTAGAGTACATCGTTGCTATCTCCGTCGTCATCGGCATTTTCGTCGTGATCGTCGACAACCTAACGAGAAGTAAAACCTGGAAGGATGTGAGCATAGTAGGTTTACAAACCTTTCTTAGCTTTTTCTTGAGCAACACAAGTAGAGCTTGAAGAACAGTGTTTGAAAATCTTGGCCCAATAGCAACATAGTCTGAAAATTAATGAATTCACGTAAACGAAGAGACGTAAGGGAACATCAATCCAACCAGAAAAGATATTTTTACTAAATATAGGTTAAAAAAAAAAGTGGAACACAGCATCATTTAACCCTTTAACTCCCAAGAGTGACCAAGACAGAATTTCTCCTCACAATATCAATACAATATCAACCAGATAAGTGATGAGAATAAAGAAAAATATCAATTTGGGGATAATAAGTTGATCCAAA